GGAAAAAATACAGTTTCGAACAGAAAGCACGAAAATCAGAAGAAATCATTTCTTGATCGGAAAAAATACAGTTTCGAACAGAAAGCACGAAAATCAGAAGAGAGTATTCATCGATCGGAAAAATACAAAAAACGGTTCGAAACATACAGGGTATGTCACGGCAAGCTTACAACTATCTCTATATCGAGAATCAGTCAGGAGAAATACATGAACATAGGCATGCTTATATTTTGGAATTCGCGCTCTCTTTATTTAATAGTTATTTTTGTATCTAGAGCGCGAAATGCTACTTTGGTGATCGAGATCTGATTTTTTTAACGAGGCGTAGCCGAGTTGAAAAAAGAGTCGAGATGACCAAAGTATTTCGCGCTCGAGTTGCAAACAAAATTTTTTCTACAAACGTCAAAAAATATAGTTCTATAGTAAAAATATGCTTAATTTGATATAAAAAATAGTGTTGAACTGGCTTGAAAGGTGTCCCCCTATCCTCCCTAGGTACGCACGATGTTCCACGAACATAATAGGAATTTCCAATGACCAAAGCATTTCGCGCTCGAGTTGCAAACAACATTTTTTCTACAAACGTCAAAAAATATAGTTCTAAAGTAAAAATATGCTTTGCTTGATATAAAAAATGGTGTTGAACTGGCTTAAAAGGCCTCCCCTATCCCCCCTAGGTATAGGCACGATGTTCCACGAACATAAAATAAATTTCCTTTCGTGCGCTCCAAGAGATAAAACGAAGTTATTGTTGAACATTCAGAAATAAATGATTTTTTGGATGTTTTCTCGATTAAGGACCATTTAGTTGGAATATAAATATCTCATATATTTTCCATAACAATGCGCGAAGTAGGTACTTCGCGCACTGTTTTACTTCGCACATTGTTTGGTGCAAAATATAATTGTAACATAGGAAACTGAAAAGAAGTGTCACTTCGCAATTTGCTATCAACGCGCGAACCTTGTCATTTTTTGACGTTCGTAGAAAAAATAATTTCAGCAATGCAGTGTTGCCGTTTCTATCAAAAAGTAGCAACAACTTTGTTATATCAAATAAATAATATCAAATAGAATACCCTGTATCTCATTGCATTTTTAGATTCTTCCTGGAGAGCAGATTTCATCAAGACATCAAACTTGGGGTCCACCGGGAATGATTACAGAGATATAGGGTGTTCAAAATCGAGATTTTTCAACTTCAGGATTTGTTTGTTACGAAACTATTTATTATCGGTCATAACGGCTCACATGTCCTATCTCAACTTCTCATTTACTGTTTACTGATATTCAATCGGAACAGATACAGGGTGATCAGATTTCTGAATCCTTAACCAGCCAAAACACCCAACCCCGCCTTGACCCTCACCAGTCATCAATGTACTTTACTTGTAAGGAAACAAATTGCTTTCGATTGTGAAGAAATGACGAGAACCAACTAAGACATACACGCCTCTTAGTCCATACATTTCTATTACTCAAGACAGAATGTTTATCAAGAAACGAATTAAGACGTTCCAAAAAGGCATATTCGAAAACTTTCGAGAGTCCACAAAGGACTGTTACAGGACGATAATTTTCCACAAGTGTTTGTGTCTTTCTTTTTGGAAATAGGAGTGACTTTACCAGTTTTTAACTTGTGTGGAAAATCACCTCTCACAAAGAAAGAACTCTTTTCAATATAAACATCGCGGTATGTCATCTGGACCAGACGATTTTTTATTCTTCAGTTTTTTTTTAACAATGACAATAATTCATGTTCCGTGAATGGGTTCAAAAACATTGTGTAAGAGTTGAAATCCTCTTCATTATCAAATACTCCATTATTACTTGGAGGTATCTGTTTAACCAATTCGATAGAAGCCTTAACGAAAAAATCATTGAACTTGGATAGGCAATAGTTGCCGGATCTTCTTTAAGCCAATAACACGGTCTCCGAGAATGAAGTGAAAGAACTGCAAAACGATTTATTTTTTATTTCACTTCGCGGTTATATTAATAACTAATAAACAACCACTATGTTCGCATTTTTTCAAAATCAAAAGACTGACAGATATTTGATTTCGCAGTTACGAGACAACCTATTTCTTCTATACTAACCTTAGTACTACGCACATAACTCATAATCATTATATATCTGGAGACTAGAACCGTTCACATAAGATGTACCTACTCGAGGTGTCTTGAATCCAATCACAAAGAATGGGTCTTGGGATACAGTCAAACTTTGAATGGTCATCTTCTGACCATATTCATGGTAAGATTTTATACTTGACTCAAAACCGACATTATATCTTGATTCTAGCTTTCAGTTTTATTACATAATGGAAATTCTGGGACAGTATTTTCGTCTTCACATGATGAATTGTTCGTTTCTGATCCATTGGGAATGGATTCTATAAAAACTCTTCGAGAAGTTTCATGAGAGCAGTCTAAGGAAAAGACCATTCGATTTGGGTTATAATTGTATGTTCTCTATGAGTGATTTGCGGTACCTTCAATGAGTCATCCTATATTTTTCAACCTAATGAAATCATCCTCTTCAGGTTTCAGCACAATGCAAAATGAAGTGAAGCAAGGTTATTGAAATGTGAATTCTATAAACAGTTGAATGATAACAAATTTCACATGAGTTTATATTGGCATATATAGGTAGCCTTTCAGACACTATTTGAAGTGGAAAAATTATTTTGAAATGAACTCAGTGATCATTCCTTCCTCAAAAACTAAGATCAGACATGTAGTAAGCAAAAAATGAGCGGCATATTCCCATATAATTTCATCTTATCTTCGAGATACGCTACTGGCGTCCATTTACATCTCGCCACGAATTTACTCGCCCCTACTGTTCGTCCGCCATATTGGATACGCATTATAGTCGTAAGATATGGAGGTTTATGAGTTCTGTGGTATAGTTAATGCGAAGTCAGTTGAAAAACTTCCGTTTTTAAGGACGATGCGAGGATGTGTCGATTTGCTTAACATTGGAATAGGAATGAATGAGATATTTTCTACTGAGCTGTCCCGGTATGCAGCCTGTGCAGTCAACGTGGACTGGACGAGCGCTATCATGCTAGAAACCGCGTCTCATTGGTTACTCCAAACTATACTGAATGTTGATTGGTCAGAGTTGCCTGGGCGGTCTTCTGTGTGATAAGAATCTTGTAGCGCGCGCTAGGCAGTGCGGCACGAGCTAGGTTGCCTTCATTGGTTCAACTCGAAATTCAGAATATTATTATTTCAACCATAGTGGTTTTGTGTTCTGAAGGCCTTTTGAGGGAGTCAACGAAGTGAGTGATAGTGATTCGGAGGAACAGCAAGCGGAGTTCGCCAATAGAGACTTACACGTTCAAACGCAAAGGGTAATTTTGAATATCTATTCGCGTCTCAAGGACGAGAATAACAACTTGTGAAGAGAATACAGGAATTAACTAAAATATGCTATATATACCCACCATATACAGAGTTATTAGAACCGAAGGTGTTGTAGATCATGAAGTACGTTGCGAAATGATTTACTAGATTGCGGGTTCAGTCATGAGAAATAAGACTAAAGGATGCTGATTATGGAATCAACATCCATTGTATAGACCATCGGCAAGAATATCTACGTAAAATAAAGGAATAGCGTGAAGCGAATAGACCTATAATCTAGATGAAACGTGGTTCGACACTCATGACGTTGTTCAATACGATTGGGTAGAGGTAGTCGAGAGACAAAAGAATTATAAATCCTTCACCCCGGCAATGAAAATGGATTTCTTGACAATGCATTGTTGTTGTCTGTCAAAAATATCAAGCAATCCTCTGTCGCTAATCACGAGGATATGATGACGGCAGAATTATTTGAGAAATGGACAGAGCAGCAGCTTATACCAAATATTCCAGAGAATCCATATCTGTCAGTAAATCCACTGATTCATGAAAATCTCTGTTCCGAAATATAATATTGTGCTGTAATTCGGAACGCGTTTTCATGGTTCTCATCAGTAATCAGCAGCAGTTGATCACCTGGTCAAATTTTAATATCATTCCCAGCGTCAATTATTTTAATAACATTCATTTTCTGATATTAAATTTGATATTATATTAAGACAAGACTGAATGTTTGAAAAACTACGGAAATAAATGTTACATTCGTTCCCCTTCTAGAGTAATGACATTTCACTCACATTACCTTTTGATAGTCAGCAATTTCAGCAGAATGTTGTCGAAACATTTGGAATAAATAGTATGTCTGCTCATAAGTATCTGTCACTTTCAGTGAATTTTTTTTACTTCGGTATAAATGATCAGCAGATTCAGTAATGTCAGTTAAATTCGGACTATTGCCGAAATGGTGCTACAGTGCTACAATGATGGTGCTTCACAACTATCTCACGTCTGCTGTACGGACAGGCAGATTCCCTACCCGTGTGCAGGACTTGAGGTACTGTTCACAGTATGACAGATGACAGCAAGGATTTCAAACAGCTGTTTTTGAAGTTTTAAGCAATAATTAAAAAAATCAAAAATAATAATAAATTACAGTACCAGAACCGGCAGAACTAGACAAAAAGAAATCCCAGGAGATAATCATTATTATTCGTAAATTGAATTGAGGATTGAGTTCTATTTAGAATGTGAGTAGGTATTGTTTGTTCACATTTCAATTTTTATGTGTGGTGATACAATATTTATTTTACATCTCTATCACTTTCAGCACTTTCAGTCTTTGGAAAATCACTTCAATGGTCATAACAGATAATGGTCTACCAGACCCTGATGATAGGGACATCCCAAATGAAGATATCAGGGTTTCAAATGAAGAAATGACCATTGTTGATGACATTGATGATAATGAATCAGACCAAGAATCTATCACACTAGATGAACGAGATCAGTACCAAAGACTTCCTAGTTTTCCTGATGATGAACATGTTGAATCCTCTGAAGAAGGTATGTAGTATCTATTGAGTACATATAACAATCTGGTTGGTGAACAATGTACATTTTTTCAGAACAGGAAAATGTTACTGATTCAACAACAAATGAAACTCCAATAATTCCAAATATACCAGTGATAGTCCCTATGGAAGAAACCTTGGTAAAAGAAGTTTGGTCTGAACCACATCCTAAATCATGTGATATTGAAATGGACAGCAAAAAAGCAGATGAAGTTAGGCAGGTTATGATGAACATAACTCTGCCACCAGGGGCCATTCCTGACTGGGCAGCAAACATTCCAGAAGAAGAGTGGAAGCAACAGTTGATGAAAAGGCTTGAGAATATCCAGACAAGAGGAGATTGCTGATTTTCACTCAGTTGTGGTTATCATCTTTCCTACTATTGAATTCTTCAAATTCAAATACACATATTTTGTTTGAAATAAAGAAAAACAACATGAGGAATTGTCACACTTCATGTTCCAGTTCAATTAATTTAGTTAATTGTTGATATTCAGATACTGAACATACCTGGGAACCATCTGGGAACCTATGTGAAATTGATAGAAGGCAGCAAAATGAAAACAGAGTGAGAGTTAAAAAAATATTGGGGATTTGACTGCCACAATAGAAAATTACATTTGGGTTTTCAAATCTTCTAGCAGTCCTATTAATGCAGATATCAAATAAACTAATCTGTTATGTTTTACACTTTTCTTCAAAAACAAACATTTAAAAAAATACTATTCTGAAACGGAATGAGGTAATGTATCCAAAATTTGAGATCTAGAAGACATAGACAAAATCTAGACCATTTACCAAAATTATTATTTTCAGATGCCCCAATAGAAAAGAAATGCAATCTTTTTTAGAGGAATATTGTGATGTTTGATATGTTTTTACAATATGTTCTTGAGATTATCTGCTAGGGGAGGGGTTTTTTCTCTAAGAAGTAATTTTTTGCTTGCAATTGATTCAAGGTTTTTTTTTTGAAAATAATTTGTGACACTCTGTATTACTTTCAACCACATAAGATATCATCAATTCTGTTTACTCAACAAAAGTTGGGTATGGGGTGAAAATCAGAACCTTATTGACCTCATCATCTTGAAATTAATACAAAAATGTGCATTCTACAGAAATATTGAAGATGTTATGAAATCCATTTGAGAAATATCTTGAATACCGGGTGTTCCTATTGAGGAACAAATGGCAATGAAATTAGGACTTGTTACAATCTTATACTTTCAAATTCTCAGATCACCTTGTTGATGAAGATTTATCAAATCTAACTTATATTGAAGGGGTTAGCCCATTTCACAGTATCAATTTCTGAAATAAACATTTCAATTTACTCAAAATCTTCACATTGAATTGATTTCAGCAGAAAAAATGTATTTTTTAGGAAAAATATCTGGTAAACTTATTTGTTCCTCTGAAGCTGAAAGAAGAAATATCTCAGGGGTTGAATATCTCAACCCCTTCTAAGGATACTTCAGGGTTGAAAACATTTGAAAATGTGAAGTTTTAATGCTAATTGCTTAAAATACAGGAAAAATACAAAAAAAAAAACATTTCTATTTAATCTTCAGAAGGGTGTAACATTTCCGGGGAGAGGTTTATCAAAAAATGTTATACCAAATACCCACCTTCATTATTTTCATTACTGAATCACTCCCTATTTGTTTTGATGTTATTCAGATACAGATGCAAAATCTTAAAATTGTTGAAATTAGGTGATATGTATATCGTATTCATGATATATAATATTGTTTAAAATTATTGCACCTTCATATCCCATATCCATATGAAAAATAAAATTAGGAATCAACAAATTGTATTTATTTATTTATACTTTATACAAATTTCTCTACATTATCTATGCATATATTTACAGTACATGACTAGGTATAGGTACACATTCCTTAAAAACAAAAAATAACTATAAATAAGTACTCCTTTATGTACAAATAACTATCGGTAATACAATTATAACAAATACTATGGATGTACAATGTGGATTACATATGTGGAAGGCTGCTAGTAACAGAGATTCGAGATTTGAACAATATTTATCCAGATACAGGGTATTCCTGAATAGCATGTGCATATTGAAGTAGATAATTCCTAAAAACATGCCCTAATTTAATTCGTTTTCTAGTTGCAGGCTGTCAAAGTTGATGAAAAATTATAAAATTTTATTCAATTGCTAGGCAATCGCTGAACACAAAATCAAAAATATATCAATAAATTGCCATTGAGGGCAAAATGATTTCCACTACCGCCGTTAGGGGGATGATTATTGTTTATTTTTTACCAAAAAGTTAGCAAGGAAGAAACATTTTCAAATTTTATATAAAATTTTGATGCAAATGCCGGACACTCCATTCAAGACTGCCGTTCAGATTACTGGATAAGAATAACCATAATAATATCTAACATAACAATCTCAATTTTGTCATCACGAAAATCTATAGAGTGGACAAAAGTTGAATCTATGCAAATTTTCAACTTTGACGGCCTGCATCTGAGAAATGAAGCGATTACAGTCAAATGTCTATTATACAGGGCGCCCCATGACTCGATGGCCATAGCTCAAGGGCATATTCCTTGAACATTTTCAATTCGAAAGTGCCTTATACACTTTCGTCTCAAACTCAATAGTCGAAGAGTTATTATGAGCAATTGAATAATAACTTGGCTAAACAGTAGATTGCAAGAGGTTTTCCACCGAGATCACCTGACCCCTATTATTTTTCATGAGAAGTCTACACCTTTTTCAATTTTAATTCAGAAAGCGTAAATTGTAATTCAGATTTCTTAAATGAAATTCAGAAAGTGTCAATTGTAAATCAGATTAGCTAATTGAAATTCAGAAAATATCAATTGCAATTCAGATTAGTCAAGTGAAATTCAGAAAAATTCAGTTGTAAATCAGATTTTTCAATTGGAATTTTGAAAGCGTCAATTGAAGTCGGATATCATTTGAAATTCAGAATGCAACAATAATTGTTATTCAGGCTACGTTATTTGCAATTCAGATAAGTAACATGAAATTCAGAAAATATCAATTGTAAATCAGAAATTAGTCAAATGAAAATCATCAATTTCAATTGAGAATGTGTCAAATGTAACTCAGACTGATGGATTTATGGAGGTATTCATGTAGAACCAGCGACTTCAGAATTATGGAATATTTTTGTTGATGATGATATTTTCTGAATTTCAATTCACTAATCTGAATATCAACTGACGCTTTCTGAATTTCAATTGACTTATCTGAATTACAAATGGCGTAGTCTGAATTACAATTGACCAGTTCTGAATTACAAATGATACATTCTGAATCACAAATGACACTTTCTGAATTTCAATCGCCGCTTTCTGAATTTCAATTGACGCTATCTGAATTTAAATTGACTAATCTTAATAACATTTGATATTTTCTGAATTTCAATTAACTAATCTGAATTACAAATGAAATTGTCCGAATTACACTTGACGTTTTCTAAATTACAATTGCGAAAGTTGTAGTTCAAATGATAACCACAAACCAGAGATGAGCTAATGGGAGAGACCACTGATTTTTCGAAACGACATTATCGTGAACTCTATGCTGTAAAACTACCAGTGAATTTATTTAAAAATTTTTTATTGATGCTAAGACGATGAAAAAAAATAAATTAGAATATGTCCATTTCAAAACACACCATTCCTATGCCATTTGAAATTTTGTCAATTCCTTGGTGTGGCTGGTGCGACACGTCTATCGTCCTTGAACTGACCAATCACACTGCAACACTGCAGAATGACGAGGTATCAGAGAGAGATAGCTACAGTTCGGGACTAATACGTCACGGCTCCACCATTATATTTGGTTTTTTAAAATATCGAATGAAATATGCTGATTTCAAAACGATATAGAATAATATTGATTGTACATAAAACGTAAATCATGATTCGTCGATTGAAAGAGGTTTGCACGGATTTCTTTCCTCAGTGGTCTTCCCCATTCAAAATATTGACTAAAGCTGCATCCAGAAGAGACGACCCAGAAACTCTTCAGAAAGCGACGTTTCAAATGAGTAGACGAGCCAGAATGTGAGAAAGTGATCAAAATAGTCAGAACGGATAAAATATTTCATTAATTTATTCAAAATTCCCTCTGCATCATTACACACTCAGTTGAATTTAATATTACTCGTTACTCCTCAACTATAGAGTTTTGGACAAAAGTGAATTATGCACTTCGACTTGAAATTGTTCAAGAAATATGCCCTCATGCTATGGGCATCGAGTCATGAGACAGCCTGTATAGAAACGTTCAGTCCTAAATTGAGCCTAGGAATCACATTCGTCAATATGTACATACAATTTAGGAACATCCTGTATGTATAAGTATGTAGAACCGTTTCCCATATTGGTACAAGCAAGACATATACAGGGTATGGTCACGACGAGCTAACATTATCTCTTTATCGAGAATCAGCCGGGAGATATCCATGAAAATATACATGCTTATATTTTAGAATACGCTGTCTTCATTTAAAATATTTTCAGCAATGCAGTGTTGCCGCTTCTATCAAAAAGAAGCAACAACTTTGTTATTTCAAATGGAATACCCTGTATTTTATTGAATTTAACTTAAGGATTTGTTGATCAGAATTCTGAATCTTGAACCACCCTGTATCTGTTCCGATTAAATAACAGTAAATAGTGAATCAACAGTTGAGATTGGGACATGTGAGCCGTTTTGACCAATAGTCCAATAAATGAAGGAGGATAAAAAGGCAAAGTTAACGTTAATTACGCACTATTTTCATCTTCCGGTTGGAAGTAGCTTTTGGTACCTCATTAAACATGAGACAAAGTTTGACTGGAAAACGCGTACGATGGCGGAGAAAATGGCCCCAAAAGACCAGGAAAATAGGTTTTCAGCCAATATCTCCTAAAATATGGCAGTTAGAGATTTTCGGTTCAGATAAAAATTGAAGTTCAGTTAATTTTTGGCAAAAATGGTCCCTATCATTTTTCTCGAAAATTTGCCCGGTTTCGAGAAAAACGGCACGAAACGCACCTCGAATAATGAGCTTCTTTGTTGTATGCCGGAGAGCACAGTCCGTGTATTTTCACATCGGCGGGGGGACCAATTATTCAATAACTTTGTTAAAAATGCATATTTTCTCATGATTCAAAGTTCATGTGAAAGAGGAATTCTGCTGCTATCATACCCTGCGTGGCCGCATGGTTTGTAGCAGACGACCCGAGCGCCACGTAGAGCACACACGCGGCGAACGACGGAGGAACGAAAGTAATAAATTATAGCGTGTACATTTAGATATACTGGTTTTTTCCCGGGATATCAAAGGTATGACTTATATATATCGATGGAAAGGTGGGAATTCCCCCGTTACACTAGTTAAGGTGTTAAAATGTTAGAAATAAAGAGCACGGAGAAAAAAACCACCGAAAAAAAAGTGCGTTTTTTCCTTGACCCCGCTTTTTCTAATTTTATTGAAAAATGGACGACTTCGTCTAAAAAAGTAATTGAGCAATCGAAAAGTAGACCTTCTTAGCTTTCAAATCATGTATCATAGAAACCAATCGGATCATGTATAAATTTTTAATTGATGATTGTTCACAAAATTTCCCCGCGCTCCAAAAACAGCAAAAAATTGGGATTCAATAAACAAAGATTAAATGAAAATTAAAAAAAAATAGGGTATACAAATTTCAGGGATGACAAAGGACCTTATGAGGACCCATAATCAAGAAAATTTTGAGTAAATTAGTGCAATACAAAAAAAATAGGAACAAATTCCTGGCGAGGTCAAAATTGACCGGGAGCAGAAAGTTTGACCCATGTTCCGATATGGCCAAAAGAGTCAAGCGTGACTCAATTCACAGGGTATGATAGCAGCAGAATTCCTCTTTCACATGAAGTTTGAATCATGAGAAAATATGCATTTTTAACAAGTTATTGAATAATTTGTCCCCCCACCGATGTGTAAATACACGGACTGTGCTCTCCGGCATACAACACAGAAGCTCATTATTCGAGGTGCGCTTCGTGCCATTTTTCTCGAAACCGGGCAAATTTTCGAGAATAATGATAGGGACCATTTTTGTAGAAAATTAACTGAACTTCAATTTTTATCTGAACCGAAAATCTCTAACTGTCATACTTTAGGAGATATTGGCTGAAAACCTATTTTTCTGGTCTTTTGAGGCCATTTTCTCCGCCATCGCACGCGTTTTCCAGTCAAACTTTGTCTCATGTTTAATGAGGTACCAAAAGCTACTTCCAACCGGAAGATGAAAATAGTGCGTAATTAATGTTAACTTTTTCCCTTTATTTATTGGACTACAATAATGAATAGTTTCGACACAAAAAATCTTAGTTGAAAAATCTCGATTTTGAACACCCTATATCCCTGTAATCTTTTTCGATAGACCACAAGTGTGATGTATCGATAAAATCAGCTCTTCAGGAAGAATCTAAAAATGCGATAAAATACAAGGTGTTCCGTTTGAAATATCAATGTTACTACATTGTCGAAAATATTTCAAATGAAGAGAGCGTACTCTAAAATATAAGCATGCACCTTTTCATGGATTTCTCCTGACTGATTTTCGATATAAAGGTAGGATAAGCTCGTCGTGACATACCCTGTATTGTGCCTTACATTTTTTCTGTAATATTTTGTGTATACTTTGTAATTACATTTTATTGTCTACATTATAGCAATAAATGTATTATTGGATCTCTGAAAATCGGAAATTTAGCTGAATGGAAGTTATGAATTTTCAAATACTCATAGTTGAATGAATCAAGCACACATAAAATATCATATAATGGTATTATAGAAATGTCTAAGGATTTTTTTTAATCCGCATCATCTCTGACAACCGGATCACCGTCTAGTTTTTTCAAATTAGGTAATCTCTTCAATGCCTCTACTTTCCACACGGATTCTTCCATGCTGTCATATAATGGATTGCCAACAAAAAGAAGATCTTCCAGTGAAGGTAGTTCTTGAAATTTCACGAATTCTCCTAGAGATAATGATATATTCGTTTATCACCATTTTGCTAGTTATTTCCTAAGCCACATCATACTTTCAATATAGTTTGATATTTTCCGGGGTAATTGCCACAATTATTTTATGAAAAAATTTACTTTTTATAAAAAACACAAATTTCACATAAACAATCATGGATCATTTGCCTTTATTTGCTCTGTTATTGTCTACTTCATTTGATTTTCAACTTTTTTCACTTGCATAACTTTGAACTAATTATCGGCTGATGATGGGCATATATAAGCCCGAAACATGTACCTTTAATGATCATTTCAATAAAAGTTGTGGAGATGACTTCGGGTTTATCATCTATGAATGTAAATTTATTCGGAATAGGTGAATTATTTCATCTGAATTGGTACCTAGTATAAGGAATGCTCAAATAGTTGATATCAAATAGCTTAATCAACTCACCCCATTCCTTAATCATATTATTTCCAATGTACAAGACTTTCAGTTTCTTCAAAACCCCGACACCTTTTACTTTTTCAATAACATTGTAAGAGATCCAGAGCTCTTCTAAGGTGTCTGCCACTCCTTCCAGCCCGGAAAACGATTTTATGTAGTTTCTTCCCAGAGAAAGTATTTTCAAATTTTTCAAAGCGCTAATTCCGGAAATTTTTTCAATCATATTCGTCGACAAGCTCAGTTTTCTACATTTCGTCAGAGCAGAGAGAGAATTATCCATTTTTTCTATTGGCGGCCACTGGAATTCAATAATCCAAAATGTCAATTTTGTACTACATGGGGCTACACATTAAAATTATATTCGAATATCCGAAGATGAAAATAGACCCAACTAATAATTATCTAGTACAAATATTTGTGATAACTATCGTCCAATATCTTTAATTAATAATATTGCTAAACTTTTAGAAAAATGTTTGAAAAATAGATTATATGACTTTTTACAGAGCAAGAATATGCTTGCCCTTAATCAATTTGGCTTTAGACCTGGAATAGGGGCAGAAAATTCAATATATCATGTTACACGTACAATAAGTAAATCTCTTGATGATAACAAAAAAACAATAGGAATATTTCTTGATTTGAAAAAAGCATTTGATACGGTTTCGCATGATGTACTATTTAGAAAACTTCAAAATTGTGGCATACGTGGTAAAAGTTTGGAATTATTGAAGAGTTACTTATCAGAAAGAGAACAATTTACAAAATTAGAAGAAACGTTCAGCATAAAAACACATTTAATTTGTGGTGTTCCTCAAGGAACTGTTCTAGGTCCTATTCTTTTCATTATTTATATCAATGACTTACTAAAAACAAATATTGAAGGATATATTTTCTCATATGCTGATGATACAATGATAATTGTCAATGGAAACACTTGGTCAGAATCAATCATGAATGCTGAAAAAGCTATAGCAATAGTTAAAAATAATCTAGATTTTGACTTATTAACTTTAAATTTGAATAAAACAAAATTCATGACTTTCTCCTGTTATGAAGACTCACAACCAAACAATATAACAGAGTTGACAATTCATGATATAAACTGTTTCAAAAATATATCCAAAGAATCAAAAATGAATTGTTCATGTACCCACAAAATAAATAAAGTTGCTTTTATTAAATATCTTGGAATTTATATTGATCAACATTTAAAGTGGAATCATCACGTTTCAGAAATTACTAAGAAGCTCAGAAGTACTCTTCCAAAATTCAGATTTTTACGAAATATTGTTAATAGAAATTTAATCATAATGTTATATCATGTACTTTTTCAATCTATTCTGTCATATGGAATCATTGGATGGGGTGGTATGTATGAGACTCATCTCAAACCATTATTAAGTATTCAAAAATATGTTTTGAAAATAATTTTTCGCAAACCTTTGGATTATCCATCATCCTCATTATTTGTAGATAATCATATACTGAATGTCAAACAATTATTTTATAAAGCATCATTGAATTTCTTGAAAAAAAACACTGCATTTAGTAATAAAATTAGTCACAATTATTGTACAAGAAATGATAATGTTCAACTTGAAAAACATAATCTCAAAATCATGCAAAACCATAGTAGTTTTATTGGGTCAAAAATTTTTAACAGAGTTCCAACAAAATTAAGACGTTTGAATATTGTAACATTCAAAAAAAAAATTAAAATTTGGTTTTTGGATAATGCAAAAGAAATTGATAATCTCTTCAAATAATTTTTTTTGTTTGTGTGCTTTGTATATATTGAATTTATAATCAATATTTAATCTAAATATTTTTAAGAACTTGAAAATTTTTTACAAAAAGTTTATAATAATTATCTAATTCACACACAGGTCAATAACCTATGTGAAGTAGATAAAATTTAGAATTTTTATAATATTAGAATATGTATGTCTTTGTAAATGTATTCATATGAGAATAAATAAATAAATAATAAATAATAATAATTAAGGTTCTTTGAACTACTGCACAGCAAATAATATACAGGAGGTCAATCCATTAACCATATATTCCTTGAACAAAAACAATATGAGTTTCTAAATACCATTTTTCATTTTAGCCCTTTATATTTGATATACAGGGTGTCAAAGTTAAAAATTAAAAACTGTTTTTTATTAATTACTCGCGTATTTAAAAAGATATTGATCTCAAAATTGGTTCGTTACTTTAGCACAAAGAGTTACATCGTATGTGGAAAACAAAACAGAAAATAACTGTCAAATATTCAAAATACTGGGGGTCTACTACACACTTACCCCCATATTATTTTTTGTACGTGCGCTAATGACTTCCTATTTATTTTTCTTTGAGTGATCAATCATTTTTGAGTATTTTTTCTCTCTTTTAAAATTTCGATAAAATTATTTGTTTTTAAGGTAATTCGAAAAGTACTGGTTATTGTTCGATGCCTATGCGGCTTACGGTAATCTCATTATGTTCACATACTCCTATTTATTTCGTTGAAATTGGAAGAGGGCGTAAATTTTTACGTACGAAGAGGTAAATATGGAAATACCGGGTGCTCAGGAGCGAATGTATCAAAATAAATTTTACAAAAAAAAAAATTATAGAAATTCAACACGTCTAATTAAATTGCTCGATATGACCTCCAAAGTTTTGAATACACATGCGAGCCCTTCAAATTAAAGAGAATCTTAGCCTTTGATAAATATGTGGCTTATACACAAAATCTTTCATACATCCCCAGACAATCCTTGTCTGCTATTTCTTTCATCAAGTAGCTATTAAAATCATGGATATCATAATTTCACCTAAAATTTCCGAAAATATTTTTGTTGTACATTTTTCCGATTTTATTTTCTGTTCGTTCGCGCTCGACATACCATAAGGGGGGGGGGGCTCGAAATTATTAAAAAAATTCCGCATCCCCCAAAACCGCTCAAACCGATTTTAAAACATTTTTAAAAATTTTGCTGTAAAAATTATTTTAATACATTCGCTCTGAGCACCCGGTATTTCCATATTTACCTTTTCGTACGTAAAAAGTTACATCCTCTTCCAATTTCGACGAAATAAATAGGAGTATGTGAACATTTTGAGATCACCATAAGCCGCATAGGCATCAAACAATAACCAGTACTTTTCGAATTATCTTAGAAACAAATGATTTCATCGGAATTTTACAAGAGACAAAAAATTCTCAAAAATGATTGAACACTTGAAGAACAATAGATAGATCAATATTCGAGGAGGCGATTCTTAGGCCAATTCTAAGAAGAAAGTTTCATATGAACGTATGACCTCAACGTCCTAACTTTTGAGATACAGGGTGATAAAGTTCTCAAAAATTATTATAACCTACTACAATAAAAAGTTATAATTCCAAAATACCAAATACGAATACGAAGTTCATAAACTATGAATTGTACTTCTGAAATTTGATCTAAAAAATAAAACATATTTCTCTGCATTGTGATATGTCATATAAACGATATTGCTATAATCATGTAGTGAAAAGCTTTTTATTTTTTAAGCGGAAACCGTGCTTCAGATTGAAAACATTGTGCTGATCAAATTTGCTTAGAAATGATTGGGAATTTCAGGAATGATTTCAATTTCGAGATTAATCAGTGGCGTACCATCAATGTCTGCCAAAATAGGTAAGTGAAATTCCATACGAACGCCACTGGTGGCAACCAAAAAAAATGTGGTACACTTACTGATGCCTCTTGATAGATAGTACATGTATGCCAAATTTCATAAGAATATCTGAAGTGGTATTACAGATATTAATAAAAAATAACTCAATTTTTGAGACTTCACCACCATGTATCTCAAAAGTTAGGACATTTAGGTCATACGTTCATATGAAACCTTCTTCTTAGAATGGGCCCAAGAATCGCCTCCCCAAATATTGACATCCAATTATGAAACACCCTGTATATGATTTTATCCGCGAAGTGCGCGAAGGCATACTTATATTTGAGAGCGTCGTTTTTAAAATTGTGCTTCAAGCGGTTTATCTCTCGAGCCTCGATCCAAACCAACTCGATCTAAAATTATAGATAGTATTTGAAAGAAAATCAATTTGACACTGAATCTATCACATTGAATTTGTATATTGTGTAATTGCATTTTATTTGAAGTTTCGATTGAGTAAGTGTATGAGATCATTGGGGTTTAAAAATAATAGTTATTTATTATACAAGGGAAAAAAGTAGTAGATTTTAGCTCCAGGTTCCCAGGTTGTGTTGTCTCCCGACGCGTAGCGGAGGGAGACAAAAAACCGTGAGCTAAAAACCTAATATTTTTCCCGTGTATAATACACTATTTTTTCTGTGACAGAAGAAAGGACGAATCAATATTGAGCAGATATTACATTATTTTGAAATCTGAAAATTATCGACGTGAAATTTTAAGTTTTTAACAGTAGGGACACCTACGGCATCTTCATCATTCTTTTGAAGAAATCAAATATCTGATGTCACTTCTGTCAGTCTAATTCTTTGATTTGATTTCAAAACATTGCGAATTTAGTGGTTGTTTAGTAATATACGTTACCGCGAAGTCGAATGGAAGATTTTTCGGAACAATAGCACAACAAAAGCCATCAACAGTTTATATATATACCGGGTGGCTACGGAAGTATTGCCTACGGAATATCTCAGTTATTGTATGAAGTAGGTTTGTGAAATTTGGAGCGTCGATATAATGACATAAGAGCTAGAATTTGAGCATATTGGCATGTCGAAGTTACCGGAAGTAACATCAACTTTCTTATTTTAAATGGGAACCCTATTTTTTTTCTTTTCGCTTTATTCAGCATTCAATTCCCTTTCTAATGACATATCACAAGTAGGTCTCTAACCAGAAACTAGATCAGAAAAAAATTATTATTGAAATTCACCGAGTAGGCCGTGGAAGCAAACTGAAAGCCAAAAATTGAAAAGTTGGCTATGGAAACCATACGTCACTTGATAACAGTTGCTACTACTGTGATATTTTATTTTCATTCGTCGGCGTTATAAAAAACCGCCAAAAAAATATTGGAAAAATTGGGAAAAAAACAATACTCTGTAGGTCCATAACTTAAATAGGAACATACAACTTTTTCTTGCCTGTAGTATTCAGCATAACCATTCCTTTCTAATGATATGATTTTTGGCTTTCATTTTGCTTCCACGGCCTACTCGGTGAATTTCAATGATAATTTTTTTCTGATCTAGTTTCTGGTTAGATACCAACTTGTGATATGTCATTAGAAAGGGAATTGAATGCTGAATAAAGCGAAAAGAAAAAAAATAGGGTTTCCATATAAAATAAGAAAGTTGATGTTACTTCCGGTCAGACCGGAAGTTAACTTCGACATGTCAATATGCTCAAATTCTAGCTCTTATGTCATTATATCGACGCTCCAAATTTCAAAAACCTATTTCATACAATAACTGAGATATTCCGTAGGCAATACTTCCGTAGCCACCCGGTATATGTGATTATATCCGGGAAAAAAGTACTCACTTTTTTCCTACAGGAAAATAGTAATTTATAATAAGTGACAGTTTATAACCTGCCAACAGAGATGAAATGCCAAACTCTTTTCCCGTCACAGGAAAAAATTGTTATTTGTTTTATAGGTAGTGATGGAGACACACTGATTAGGTACTTGGGTAGCACAAATCTTATACGTACCTATATCTCTATACCAAGGAAGCAGGCTGATGCCAATTTATTTTTCCTCCCACATGAGAAAATATTTTTTTTCCTCGCGTGGGAGCAAATTGACAGGTTTGTGTCTTCAAATGAGGAATCAAACGCTTATTTTCGTTGCAGTGAGTAGATGAAACCAATTTATAAAATATTTCAGAATCAAAAGATTCTTATAGAATATACAGTAAAACCAATAAACAGGTGTCCGGTAAAGACCACGTCAAACCTAGGGAGAATGTAGATCAAAGGATAACCCACCTGCATATGACAAAATATCCACGTCCAAAGTTTTCAATAAAAATATTTCTCACAGCCCCCCTTTGAAATGTTCGGAGAATGTTTTTAATGTATACGTTAAAATCATTCTTCAGCAATATTTACTGAAAAAATGAACCAAAAAGGTGTAAAATTGTACCCACCGTACAGACAAAACCATTGAAAGGGTCAAAAATTCAATATTTTCAAAAAAAAATTATTTCGAAAACGGTAATACTTTCATGATAAAAATTTTGTCATATCAGGTGGGTTATCCTTTGATCTGTTGAGAAAAATAATCATCACATTTAAATGAGATATACTAACATCCTGTATAATGTTGAAATAATGGAATCTGTTTACTGTCAGTTAGTTCATAAGAATTCAATATACGTTTTGAATATAAAAGTTCTGGTTGATCTTCATAAGATTGTTGAATTAATATAATAATAAAAACCCGATATCTGAAATCATCACATTTAAATGAGATATACTAACATCCTGTATCATGTTGAAATAATTGAATCTGTTTACTGTCAGTTACTTCATAAGAAATCAATATACGTTTTGAATATAGAAGTTCTGGTTGATCTTCATAGGATTGTTGAATTAATATAATAAAAACCCGATATCTGTACATCATCTACATTCTCCCATAGGTTTGACACGGGACACCCTGTATAGAAGCCAACAACCTGGATACCAAGCGGAACCGAATTTGGATTTTAGATTATTTTGTCAACGCCCCAAGAAAGTATGTTGGAACGTGTCCTACGAAAGTATCAAAAATTAACATTTCAAGCTATACAAATAACAAATATTTACTTGGAATTGGAATCCCACATCTGTGGCTTCACTTATAGATTCTCCTGGATGTTTTTCTTCCCATCTCTTGATAGCATCTTTTATTGTTGTTGGTTTTGACATTTTCGTGAATTTGTCATTAAATATAATTTCAGTGAGTTTGATCACCACAGAAACGAATTTCTGTGACTGTATTGATCAAACAGTGAGGTATATAAAGGGTGTATCCATCGAAAACGTACTGCAAGGCATTACGCAAAGGAAAGAACATTTCGATAAAATCCGAAAACGCGTCAAAAGTTTGTTCAGTCAGGAGGCAAGGGCGGTCTTAAGGTGAATCATTAGGAGGGGTAATAGTATTTTTGTAAAAAAATCTGTTTTTTGTCCAAATGACATCAAAAGTGACCTTTTAACAGACAAATAACTATTTTTCTTATTCTTAAAGTTTTGAGCTCAGTAGAAGAACCAATTTGCATTGAATGATGCATAAATAATGCATAAAATTATGAAAATCCACCATTTTATCACTTGAATTGTATCCATTAACTGCAATACAACAAAACATTGTGACAGCTGTCCTAAATATGACACTATATAGTGCAATCATTTTTTTATGAATAGAATTCAAAAAATCAATTTGTTGTCAAATTCTGGGGCGCGGTGATTACCCCCCCTCTACCCCATCCTTTGTCAGGAGGACTACTTTTAACGCAAGACCTCCAACCCCCTAAGTGAGAGTGTCACCTCAAAAATGTTTCAAATGAGAATGAGGGTCAAGAGATACCTCATTGTAAAGAGCTTTCAATTCCCTATATATACAGTATACATTGCTGTTTAGTTTCCGAAAATCTATTCACTCGTTTATAAAGTTTAAAAAATCAGCAATATCATTAACAAAAAAATGAAATATCCAGTGGGTGTTACTCACAGGTGGCTCACCCCTTCAACTTTTGTGTTTATTAGAGATAAACAAATGACATTCGGTGTGTGAATTGGGTACATAAATAGGCAGTATTTGGCGTATTCAATTGTTTTCTTTCATTTCAAATGGGACACCATTTGCCATTTTTTGACATGTAATGTTGATTTTTCAATTATAAATCTAGAGTGTCATGAATGAATTAAAACAGTTGATTTCGAATTATGTTGCCTACAAAAAATAGTTTTACTTTTTATTTATTTCACAGGTCCATTTAAAATTTACAATATCGTAATTATGATGTTAATTCAATTTTTTCGAATAGAACAAAATAGAACCATATCCAAAAAGGGTATTTTTTTCTGTGACGGGAAAAAAGTTTGGCATTTCATCCCTGTTGGCAGGTTATAAAATGTCACTTTTCATAAATTACTTTTTTCCCGTGGGAAAAAAGTGAGTACTTTTTTCCCGGATATATATCACATATATATACACTGTTGATGGCTTTTGTTGTGCTATAGTTCCGAAAAATGAGTCAATAATACCGTCTCCGAGAAAGAACTGCAAGTCCTTTTATCTTCCATTCGACTTCGCGGTTACGTATATTGCTAAATAACCACTGCATTCGCAATTTCTTGTAATCAAATCACAAAATTAGACTGACAGAAGTGACATCAGATATTTGATTACTTCAAATGAATGATGAAGATGCCTACAACGCGGTGTCCCTACTGCGTTAAAAACTTAAAATTTCACGTCGATAATTTTCAGATTTCAAAATAATGTAATATCTCCTCAATATTGATTCGTCCTTTCTTCTGTCACAGAAAAAAATAGTGTATTATACACGGGAAAAATATTAGATTTTAGCTCACGGTTTATTGTCTCCCTCCGCTACGCGTCGGGAGACAACACAACCTGGAGCTAAAATCTACTACTTTTTTCCCTTGTATAATAAATAACTATTGTTACAAACACATTGATACCACATCGATATTTTGAATCAATTTCCAGTATCCTAATCACTCTAGATTGAAAATTGGGAAATGAAAATTTCATGATAAAAAATGTAAAAAGTGGTAAATGGGGTCTCATTGTACTCACAATGTTATTCTCTATCGAAATAGGTGAAAATATACCGGGAGTTCCATTTATGATGAGAAAAAATGGGTCAGTTCCGGTCAAACTGGAAGCGACAGAAAGTAATTGAATACGTCAAATAATGCATATTCATGAACTATACACACACGCCGAATTTCATTTGTTTATTTATAGAAATAAAAAAGTTATAGGCGTGAGCCACTTTTGAGAAATACCCGGTATTACTAGGTTAGTATAGTCTTTCCATAGTTGAAGCAGCTCCAGCAAAAAAAACTTTCATAATAATTTGTTTCAGATTTCTAGATCTCGAAATCAAGATGGAAAATACGATGTCCATTTGTTTTATATTTTTGTTATTAGGCAGGTCACTGAAATAGGAAAATCTCGTTGAATTCAGTCTGGTTAATACCTAAAATTACAGGCAACTTTACAGAGTCGATTGCCTCCAAATGAACTCTCTTGTATAACTAACAAATGGTACGCCATTTTTTCAATAAGTTTGATCATATTAATTTGTCATAATCACCGTACCATGCCTTCTGTAGATATTAATATTAGCAGGAGTACAACGATTCTGGTGTGTATTCAATATCGTCATAAACTATCGTCAGTGGGGGGCATAAATATTCTATTCTACCAACAGAGGGGTCTAATACAATTCTTTGAGCAGACTTTACGATGATTTTTTGATATTTTGTTGATATATTGATCACCTTCATTTTTATTACGAATTCGGCAAAAGATGCTTACAAAAGTTTTGGAACATTTTCTCCCGATTGCGTCTTCTATCGTTGAATATACAGAGAAGTGTACAAAAAATTGGTCCAAGAATACCAAATTGCTCATTTATTGACAAAACAATTTTAGTTTTATCATGTCCGGTTTTACCGGAAACGACCCAAACTTTAGATTTTTAAATAGGAGACGTTCAACGGTACCAGATTTGACATGGATATTTCAAATGATCAGGAAGATCTTTGCTTTCGAAATTTTCATGCTATATAGGTGTGACTTCGCAATATCGAAACTGCTTTCTTTGTCACATTCATTTGAAAATAACCCTATCAAACCCGGTATCCTTGAATTCGTTAATTCCGTATAGGTACTTGCTACCCACCAATTTTCCAAATCAGATCTCAAATGATTCAAAAGTTGAAGCACTGACCGTTTTTTCTGCACTTCTCTGTATATCACATAGTCACCTACTTGAATTCAATTGTTTTATATCTATACCTTTTCAACTTCAAACTGAAACCAATCATTTTCAAATTGGAATATCACAGTCATATCAATGGTAATCACTTCAAAATTGAAATTGATAGCTATTGATATATCAAGGGAGCGAAAAGGTATCCTTTTCCTCCCGCGTGTGAAGTTTGATTAACGCGTCGGGCATTAAAAACACATGGGGGGAAATGAACCTTTGTTCCCAAGATATATATATATATGTATGTATATATAGATATGCATATTCAAATACAGGTTTAAATACAATCATTTTCGGAATGAACACATTCAATTTGGGACTAAACTCTTAACATAGGAAAACGAACGCAGACAATATTATTATATTATTCAACTTTGTTTACGATGTTAACGTTTGTGTTCTATATCATTCGGTATTCACAGTTCGTTAGGGTGGATCGAGTATAATAAAAAGAAATGTAAATAATCGTACTTATATTATTCGTAGACACTGGATGAAATAGCTCCTAAAGAAAGAAAATTCAGTGAAGCTGTATCTGTCCTGTGCCTTAAATGTGGTGAATCTGTCGCAAAAGTTTCAAATATGAATCGGGATATTCATGAAAAATCTCATGATACCTCGCATGATACTAAGGAAGAAAAATTCAAATCGGAAAACTTGAGATTCTCCAATGAGAATGAATTTTATTCCTGGAAGAAAACTTGTCCAATTAGTCAACATGTGAAAAAAATTTAAAAATACTGAACAGAGACGTTTATATCGAACAAAAAAGCTGCTCCCAAACGACTAAATAAATGATTCATTGATCAAGATGGTAATACAGGGGATGTCACGACGAGCTTACACTATCTATATATCGAGAGAAATCCATGAAAATGCGCATGCTTATATCTTAGAATACGCTCTCTTCAATACAAATATTTTCGAAAATACAGTGTTGCCGCTTCTACTACTAGAAAGTAGTAGCAACATCGATATTTCAAATGAAACACCCTGTATTTCATCACATTTTTAGATTCTCTCTGAAGAGCTGATTTCATCGATATATCACACTGGGGGTAAGTATAGCAGGTTGTTCAAAATCGAGATTTTTCAACTTTATTTTTTTTGTTTCGAAACTATTCATTATCGGTTAAAACGGCTGACATGTCCCTATCTCAACTTTTGATTCACTATCTACTGATATTTAATCGGAACAGATACAGGGTGGTTCAAGATTCAGAATTCTGATCACCATGTTTCTGTTCCGATTAAATATCAATGAATAGTAAATCAAAAGTTGAGATAGGGACATGTGAGCCGTTTCGGCCGATAATGAATAGTTTCGACACAAACAAATCCTAAAGTTGAAAAATCTCGATTTTGAACACCCTATATCCCTGTAATCATTTCCAATAAACCCCCAAATTTGATGATGAGCCTTCGGTGTGTCTAGACTTGGTCATCAGGAAGGCAGGGGTACAACCATCACCCAGTACCACGCGTCCCAGATCACTCCCGAACATCCCAATGATTCTTACATGTACCAGCGTATTTCCGACACATAACCTGACAGAAGAATCTGGAATCAGCTCGAAACAATCGATGGAAAAATTAGAGAGAGAGATATTGTTCTAGAAGCTGCTAGAACAAAAGAAGGGTACGGAAGATCATTCGAGAACGTTCGAGAAGCAAAGCCTGCCAAGGGATCTGATATATAAGGATGGCCAGACAACTGCCGTCAGTCAGTCAAGCAGCGAGTGTCAGAGAGACAGTCATATACCGCGTGATATAAATCATTTTACATAAATAGTAGTTATAAGTTCGATATAAATTAGTGTTCCTTCAGGTAAAATAAATCAGTTCGAAAATAAATAGTGCCGTGTTCGCTTCTGCACCCGAATAACGTAACAATACAATTAACTGAAATGCTTCCAAATTTGAAATTGATGAATTTTAATTCTAATAATTATATGTTGATGTTCAGTTTCCATGTGTTACTTTGTTTAGTTCTATTTTGAAAAGTTGTCTGATCGATTAGTGAATATAATCCCAAGTTGAAATTGATTATACACAATTTGAAAATTGTTTTGATTCGAAGTTGAAAGGGTTTATAATAGTATCAGTCTTACAAAACAATTGGCTTCAGCATACACAATGATAAATATAAAAAAAACTGAAGATAGCATATAGCACATCCCGAAATGAGAAGGTACTTGCTCATTTCAGAATAAGAAAATTCGAAATATAAGTATCTCACCAAATCATTCAAAAGCCATTTTTTCTTTCTTCTGGGCGTGTACTACTTTTCAAGACGATGATACTCTACCGTTGAGTTGCCACCTTTGTGACTCTAAAATACTATTGCATCTTTCGGCTGTGATGCCTCTGACATCGGTGTACCGGGAGTCTAAGCAAAGAGGGTACTTCGAGTGCCTCAGAAGACCGCCTGGCTCGATTATGTGCCATTTCTGGTTTTCTGAGCCATCGCAAATTCGCATCACTACCTGCGAACCTGGAAAAAATCATATGATGAAATGTGACCGTCTTGGTATCCTTGAAAACTTGAAAATCACTGTAGATAATAACATGAAATGAAGAATATATCGAGTATTATATGTTGTGAAAAGCAATTGTGAATTGTAGATTTTAAAGAAATTGTTAAATAACTCTTTCGGGGATTTCACTAAAATATTGTACAGGGTGATTCATTAAGAATGGGAAATCTCTGAACTCCTGATAGTAAACACAAAAATAATGAACTAGATAGTAAACACCTAAATATAAAGTTTTAACCCAACATACCTCATAAAAATATTGCTGGTTCAAGAGATACAGGGTGGTTAAAGAGAAGATATTTTGATATAAAATCTTCTCCTCAACCACCCTGTATCTCTTAAACCAGCAATATTTTTACAGGGCATGTTGAGCTAAATCTTCATATTTGGGTGTTTACTGAGCAATCAACACAAAAACCGTTGAAGCTAGACAGTTTGATGAAGAGTACATTTTTCATGTGGAAGTGAACGAGCTTACATATTCTCTACTTATTTTGATCATCAATGAAAGATATGATGTAAATTATCGAAGTAACAGAGTGCCTCCTCTAGCGCACTCTATGAGCAATCACAAAATAAGTTGCAAATTCATACTCCTCATATCAGAAAACCTATAAATACAAGTTTTCACGTTCATGCTGTCAAAACTATCGAAGTTATTGTGAAATTTTGAAATAAAATCTTCCCCTAGAACACCCTGTATCTCCTAAACCAGCTACATTCTCATCAGGCATATTGGGCTGAATCTCATTATTTTTGTGTTCACAATTTGTAGTTCGATTTCCCATTCTTAATGAATACCAATGTATATTTTGATTGCATACATTCTGCTCATAAAATCTCGAAGCTGGTATGCTGGGTAAGTCATCAATTTGCCATCATGAAAATCCTTCTGAAATAATTAGTTGCTGGTCCACGTACAAATTATCTTATTTTTTATTCGTTTCATTCCAAAATAATTGAATTGTGAGTAATTGAATAGTGACATTTCACAGATGTACATTTTTTCCGAATTTGAGCACAAGTAATCTCACTGTAAATACTGAACTATATTGTAACAGCAGCATTCCAGCAAAGTCAGTGGTACTACTAACACTCGGAACATAGCATCATCCGCCAGTCCACCACCATTTACCAACCTTTGAGGTAGTTCTGCAGACTGAGACACAAATCGTGGTGCCTGATCAGCCCGGCACTGGTCAGCGCCCACTGCTGGTTGCCGCCCGAGCCGTGGCACTGGTAGAGGGCGACCGAGCCGTCCAACAGGTGGCCGACCGTGTCGAGGCAGAAAGCGCCCTGCCGAAGCTCGCCCGCGGCGTCGGCAGAGGCCGCCCTAGGCACGGACAGCTCGGGGTAGACGTGCTGCAGGTACCACTTGAAGGGCTTACAGTGGAGCTGGGATTTCAGGGCCAGTCGGTCGCTTATGCTGGAACGGGTGTATTTTTAATCCACGGGATAGGACTCTTGTAATGAACGCGGAGGACTCAACAATATGTATCATCAAAGAAAAAATAAAACACTCAGTCGGTCGACCACAAAGTTTAATTACAAAAAAATTTACTTTTTCGTGACTAGTTTCGGCTCAAACAGCCATCTTCAGACACAATATACAGTACCTAAAAGGGCACGTGGAAATCGCACATAATTAATGAAATTAAAGATGAAACTCCTTTGAGTGAATTATTTGCTAATTTCCCTAGTTTGTGCCAATGTTGAACCTAATGATTGTTGGGTTCTTTTGGCTGTTCAGTCGATTCAAAAGTTTCAATATTTCTTTACCGGACTGAATTTTTGGCCAAATGACCACTGTTTCTTATCAACTTTTGATTTTTAAATGGGACATCTTGTATTGTATTCCATAATCGGTAAGGGATTGTCATAACGAATTCATCGATACCGGATTTGATAGGGTTATTTCAAACGATTACTCAGATATCCGCGTCCTGAGTTTCCATATGCTCAATGAGTGTGACAGAGGAAGAAGTTTTGATATTGCGAAGTCACACCCATTGAGCATATGGAAACTTCGAACGCAAATATCTTTGTGATTGTTTGAAATAACCCTATCAAACCCGGTATCGTTGAATTCGTCATGATAATCCCTAACCGATTATGGAATACAATACAGGGTATTCCATTTAAAAATCAAAAGTTGGGGTCGTTTCCGGTGAAACTGGAAGTGATAGAAGAACAATTGTTTCATCAATTAATGAGCAATTTGGTATACTTGCCACCCACCAATTTTCAAATCCCTATCTCGAATAATTCAAAAGTTACAGTCCTGGCCGTTTTTTGTGCACTTATCTGTATTTATTATTACGAGAACGAATGCAGGAAGTAGAAGGTCGTTTTGAATTAGGGCAGTTAACATTACGAATGCACTTCGGAAGTAGAAGGTCGTTTTGAATTAGGGCAGTTAACATTACGAATGCACTTAGGAAGTAGAAGGTCGTTTTGAATTAGGGCAGTTAACATTACGAGATATAGATAGAATTTTATAATAACCGCCTGAGCGTTGGTACTAGTAAAGGGCGACCGTGTCGTCCAGCAGGTACCACTTGAAGGATTTGCAGTGGAGCTGGGTTTTCAGCACCAGTCCAGTCCGTTGCTTATGCTGAAATGGGTGATTTTTTCAATAGGAATATCTTTCATTGTCCAGGGTACACGACTTCTTCTCAAAGCAATCCTCTATAACATAATGAACGCGAGGACTCAACCAAATTTACTATCAAGAAAATGAATGCACTGAGGAAGTAGAAGGTCGTTTTGATCAAGGACAGTATACAGGTCAAGATGATACATTTTTCTATAAATATGTGTCCGAAAACGCTCCGTTACCTATATACAGAGCGATAAAGTCAAGGTTCGTTAGGTTCCTTATTTTTCAGGTAGGCGTCCCTAAGAACGGACAGCTTGGGATAGACGTGCTGCAGGTACGACTTGAAGGGATTACAGTGGAGCTGGGATTTCAGGGCCAGTCGGTCGCTTATGCTGGAACGAGTGTATTTTTCATTCAGGGCATGTTTTATAGTCCACGGGACAGGACTCAATGTAATAAACGCGGTGGACTCGACCATACAGGGAAGTGCACAAAAAACGGCCAGAAGTGTAACTTTTGAATTATTCGAGAAAGGGGTTTTGAAAATTGTTGGGCCGCTAGTATACCAAATTGCTCAATAATTGACGAAACAATTTTTGTACTACCCGGTTTAACTGGAAACGACCCCTATTTTCAATTGGGGTATGTTTCATTGTCCAGTGTACACGACTTCTTCTCAAAGCACTCCTCTATAATGTAATGTATGCGGGGAATCAACCAAATTCATTATTATGAGAACGAATGCATTTTGGAAAATGAAGGTCATTTTGAATCAGGACAGTATGTGGGGCGAAGATGAAATTGTATAATGACCGTGATGCAGGTACCACTTGAAGGGTTTGCAGTGGAGGTATGTTTCCAGGGCCAGTCGGTCGCTTATGGTGAGGCCGGTGTGAATTTTCTCAAAAATTATGCTCAGTTGGAAAATAACCCCTTTCCCTATGTTTTGATTTGAGATATCGGAGGTACAAAAAGAAAAATTAATTGAACAATGATTATGTTATATATACCCTATCAAAGAGAAGCAGGGACGAACCGAAAGAAAGTCTGGGGGAGGGGGCAGTAAGTGAATTTTGCCAACTCATTTTAAAATTTTCCAATTTTCGTTTTGGACAAAAAATGAATTCGAATTGATCAACCTATAGTTGCATTTATGCGGTGCGACGAACTGAAATGACACTTTCTAGTCCGATCTTTCAAAATGTTGTTGTTCATATCACGTGACTGGCAGACAGGGTGCAAGGTGTCTCGTGTTGTCTTTCCATTCATTTACAATATGAGATTTCCTCATCAGTAGAAAATTTCAAAATTGTTTGAACTGAGAATACTTGGATACAATAAGAAATTTCATTTTCCATTAGCTACGAGTCGGAAATTTGGAGTACGCAGTTGTAAATCCTGGGTTTGTGTAGACTCTACACACAGAGTATACTATCTTCAGATTGAAAACCTGTAATGAATTTCATTTTCCGAATTGAAAGTTCATATTTCCAACAAAAATATTCGGAATTTATAATTTTTGCGATTTCAAGCTTTACTTTCTCCACTCATCAGTTGGAAATATAATGTTCCTTCATGTTTAAACTCGAAAATTCCAACTACGAAATCGAATTTTATGTATTTTAAGTTGGTGATTCCCAGTTTGAAGTAGCAAATCCCTAGTTTGATGTAAAAAAACACAAATATATAACATGTACCGTTTTTTTGGGAAACTTTCCCAAACTCAATTTGCCAACTCGTCTAAGATGGGAGAGTGGGGGGGATTAGTAACCAAAACAATTTAAGGAGAAAAAACATCGTATAAGTGCGCATGGGGAATTGCAGGAGCCAAAGCCGACTAGACGCTTGTATCTAAAGAAGGCAGAAAAGACACTCTGAAACCTGTCCTCTGCCATGAAAGTGATAAATGTGATGATTGATGCATGTTCTCCCGCTTGGCGAAATTCAACAATAAAGTAGCTGAGTATATCTACTCACTCTCCAAAAGGCACATTTTTCGCTAATGGAACAGAAGCATAGTAATAATTTTTGTATTCATCCATCCAAACTTCTGCAGCACGTCTGGTATTTCTTGCAAAGACATTCCCACTTCCGCCAGGGAAAGTGTAAGGGTGCCTCTTTCGGAAAACGTGTCCCACCTAAAAAAATAATCCACTTGTCTCAGAAGGAATCAGTCAAAAATAGGACTGTAAATTTCTGTTAGGAAAATGGCTTTCAGCTAACTTTATGAATATTTGAAACGTTTTAGATATAGATCTCATACATTCGGATTTACAGATCGATCCTATATATGACCTGTTTCCCAGATACAAGGCGTTATACGTTTGATTTTGACTGTTAGAATAATTTACAAATATTTTATTTTTGTGATCTGTCATGATTGATCTGTCTTAGAAAAAGAAAAAAACTCTTCACATCTTAATTATTCATCTTCATGAATAGACAAGTACATATTCATAGAAATGGACAAATACCAATGATATAAGAATTTTGATATTTACTAATTTGTGAGAACTGAGAGACAATAAACGGGTAGAATTGGCCAATTCTTTGACACACTATGCCTGTCCAACGCAATTTACGGTGTGCCATATATAGGGTGATGACAATTTAAGAACTTACAACACATGTATAAAATAATGCTTCTCTGTTAGTCAATGCGTATATAGCCATTATTTTTCTCATATGACACCCTATTTTTCCTATTTTGCTTCCCTCCTATGGTATGTGAGTCAATGTGCATGTAGTAATTATTCTCCTATCTCTCAACCTATTTTATATTTTATATTTTCTATGGGAAAATCAAGGTGAACAGGTTAATTTCGATTTTTTGAGGTTCTTTGATTATTTATTCCTTATTGCTACCCTCTTAAGGTATGTATGTCAATATGCATATCGTCGTCTCAGAGCAGCAGTATATTAAATATTTTATTTTCAACATATCTTTGTGTTGCAGAAGTTCCAAATTCTGTAAGGAGTTGATGTAACAGTAGGTTATGATACCATATCATGCTGTATAGCATCGAGATTCTCACGCCATATCCTAATGTTGCTCTATCGCCCAGCTTCCATACTTTTACATATCTAATGGTGTTTGGTGTTCTAAAAACGATTGAAATGATAAAAACGCCTCCAGACTAGTTTTGTTTCTAATTGTCTCAAATGAATATTCATGTATATGAATCCAAAGATTGAACAGAAAATTGATTTATTTTCTAGGGGCCAGTACAAAGTTGAAATGGCCAAGAAATCTCCAGGAATCTTGATTTTTCTACTATTTATTCATTATTTTTTGTGATAGGTTTATTTCCCCAATGTATTTGAATTGAATAAATGAGGGGTGTTCAAGGAGGTGGAAGTATACTCTCCTCTGTAGGATTAATTCCTGGCCAAAATGCTGATTATTCAAGAGAAACGCTAAGTTAACTGTTCAAAAACTCAAAATTCTCTATGATACCCTACAAAATGTCATACACAGTTCAATAGCAACAGTAAGACGAGCATTTTTCGATTTCAAAGTAACACCATTTGGGTTATACTTGGAAGTTCACAAATTGTCCAGAATTTCACTGTGATGCGCCCGAAATATTTGAGATCATGAACATTTGAAATCGAATTATCTCGGAACCAAGATTTCCTTGATGTGTGTTTCTCTTGAATAATCAGCATTTTGGCAAAGAATCAATCCTGCAAAGGAGAAAACTTCCATCTTGTTGAACACTCCTCATTGATTCAATTCAAATACTTTGGAGAAATAAACCTATCATAAAGAAATAATGAATGAATAGTAGAAAAATGAAGATCCCTGGAGATTTCTTGCCCAATTCAACTTTGTACTGGCCCATTGATAACGAATCATTTTTCAATCATGAAAATCATCCATATCTCAAAGTGGTCCATGTATTAACTGATTGTTTTATATAAAGTGTGCCGTTTTCATCGGTTCAATCGTTTTCAGAATACTAAACACGATTAGATATGTATAAGTATCGAAGCTGGGCAATAGAGCAACATTAGGATATTGACGTGAGAATCTCAGTGCTATACAGCATGATATGCTGCTGCAAAACCTAATGTTACATTGACTGGATATAGAATTTGGAACTTCTGCAACACAAGGATATGTTGAAAATAAAATATTCAATATACTGTTGCTCTGAGGGATGATATAGTCATTCTCCCCTTTTACCATATTGTCGATAATGAATCTTGGATCATGGACCATAAATTCAAGTATCGTTGAAAACAGAAGGTGTTTCATTTGAAACAACAAATTGCATATACCACTTTCGAGATATCTAACCGGGAGTTCTAGAAATATCAAAAAAGGCTCTCCCAATATCACAATATTACTAGTCTACTCACCCTACTGCATGGTACTATTTCCAGACTGCCTCCACATTGCCATACCCTGAACGAAATCTCCAGATTTTCTCCACCCCAAACATCCATTTTCATGTCATATTTTCCAAGCTTATCAAAGTATGCTTTGTCGATGACAAAAAGGCCTCCAGCAATCATAGGCGTTCGTATGGACTGAAATGGAATACTATTATTTGTTGTTATATGGATATAGTTGAAGTGTTACTTTCCTAGCATGTTTATGAGTTTGTAACATTTTGTCAATTTTGAAAAACAATTCATAAAGGTCATTAAGTTTCAGTACTCAAAACTTGAATTTTCTATAGTCAATGCATTAATTATTTTTCACTCCAGCACGAGTCTCATTTTCCCAACGCTTTCATAGTTTTACCAATACTCTTCATATCAATATCCACTGGTGGATCGGAGTTTTGCTGGCTATTCAGCCAGCTGTTCGTTGTATTAGGTTAATTGTCTCTATTTGCTCTAAATATTCATTGTGGAAGATTTGGAAGATGCTGATTGATTTATGATGAGTTTTTCTTTTGACTAACAGATACTTATCGTCTTATATTTATTTCCTTTCACTTCTTCAACATTGCCGCTGATGTTACGGTCGTTAGTATAACGCATGCGAATATCAAACAAAACCAAAAAACTACCTGGGCAGTGAAATGGCAGTGCACTTCTTGGAAAAGAGTGGGTATGATGGGTTTTCTAGGGCTAGTGGTGAAAAAAAAAGTGTTATATACATACTTGTGTTGGATCTCTTTGTCTAGCTTCTCGCTCCGCGTAGCTCAGATACTCCCATTTGAAGACAAGATTCCAGTCAAATCCACCTCTCAAGTCTGAGGAGGCTCCGATGTATTGGAAAGTGTCCATACTGATGACATCTATCACAGGACATACGACACGAGATGGGTCCTGGAATATTGTCACTTTCAGAATCTGACTGTTATATCTATAATAATATTATAAAGAGGAAATATGTGGGTTGTTTGTTTGTTCGAATTGAATAGGCTCTGAAACTACTGGACCGATTTGAAAAATTATATTTTCTACAAGCGTGCGTGATTCACCCTATACCCGCACGCAAATATCGAAAAATAATAATTGTTATAGTAGTAGTAGTAGTAGTAGTAGTAGTTTATTCTGTGTGATAAAATAATTATATACATTCGTCAGGCACAATATACAATACAACATACAATACACATATCAATAAAAAGTAAAATCAAACAATATATACAATCACTGATAATACATAAATTATTCTTAAAAGCATACATTGAAATGTTTATAAAATTCTTCCATATCATAGAACACATTTTCTCTCAGAAAATGTTTACAATGATTTGTAAACTTTTCCAAATTTAATTCTCTCCATTCTTCTGGCAGACTGTTGAAACATTTGAGGGACTGGTATTTGTAGGATTTTGAATTTTTGTCGAGTCTAAAAAGTGGCATTTGGTAGGGTCTGTGTCTTGTTTCGTACCTGTCTTGTCTAAATAATGATGATTGATTCTCTTTCGCAAATTTTAGAGCTTCCAGAATATATTTATTTGTAGTGGTTAAAATACGAAGCTCCTTGAACAAGGGTCTGCAAGGTTCTCTATAATTTGATTTTGATATGACACGCACGGCTCGTTTTTGCAGTAATAGTATTTGATTAGCATGTGATGAATTACCCCACAGTAGTATGCCATATGACATTACACTGTGGAATAGAGCATGATAGGCCATGACTATGTGTTCTTTGTCTATCATGCTAGTTAAATTTTTTAAGAGAAATATAATGCTCGCGAGTTTGCTAGATAGTTTGTCTATGTGTATGGACCAAGTTAGTTTATGTCAATCAAAACACATAATAGTTAGTGTAATTCTCAAAGTTACTGTCATTTTTGATTCAGTGGAATTGCGATAAAAAACTTCCAGCTATAGATGCGATACAGATGAGTTATGGCCAACGAAGTCTTAAGAAAGGTATGAGAAGCACTACACGGGATTTATTGAATGGTGCAATAGTGAAAACGTAAAACACTAAATAAAGAAGAAGTATTTTTGGCTCATTTCCTAGAAATGTCTGAAACCTAGAGGCCAAGTACCATGGGCATGCTGGCTTCCGCAATAAGCTTACCTATATTATGCTTCAAACGGTACACACAATAGATTTTTTTTTGCAATTGCATACCTCGTTGGTCCCAGCACTGGGACCAAACGAACCATAAGTCGAAACTTATGCGGGATTAGGTATACATACAAACACAAACATCCATGGCCTAACTAGGATTCGAACCTATGTCTCGGTGGGAGTCCCCATATGAAACTCAGCGCCTTCACGCTCTCGACCACCGAGCCGCTATATATCACTAATTATTAGAAGATATATCACTATTGTTAGTTGTTTCTATTTGCAGGAATAATTGATTGATCAATCAATTTCCTATGCTTGTTGAAAAAATATTGTTCCTAACTCATGCGGAGAGTGTCTTTCCCGCACTACGCATCACTGTCCGCACTTGTTGGGAATATTACAATTACCATTAAAAGCCGACATTATCCCTGATGAACATAGGCTACTTTTTACCGCGGGAAAATGCTTCATTCCTACGGGAAATGGATATATGGAATTTCAGAAAAATATCATTGACAAGCGGTAGGCCAAATTTTATACTTAAAGGGAAATTGAAAATCTTTCCATTTTCAAACTAGACAAAAGAAAACTGATACCGGTGTCTAGGATCAAGTTGAAATAACTATGTTTCTTGGGTGAAACAAAAGGTGGTAAATGTCTGTACTTATATCAATTGTTGCCAAATTGTTTATGAATTCAATTAATTTGCTGAAAAAATAGTTCCCAGGGAAAACATTGTAATTAGGCCGGGTTGAGTATTGAATACAGAAAGTTGCACCAATTTCATTTGCCAAAAGGGGATATTTTTCCTATTAGAACGTTTGCCAGAATTTCCTACATTTAGACGGTAAATAAATCTGAAATACTCAATTGGAACTTGAACAGTATATTCTCTACTGACACTACACTCACACAACATCTACACAAAGTAATTGTTGCTTTCAACTATGTTATTGAAGATTCAAGTATCCGCCAAAACATTAAATTACGATGAATATCGAATGAAATGAAATCCGAAATATTTGCCAATCTATCATTGTCAATCATTGTACGTCAAATTTGTGTCATATATAGGGGATGAACCATCTTCTGGTAGTAGGTTGCTATAACTTTTAATTATTACATCTTATCATTGTCATGATTCATTCCAATATTTTCACAAAAATTTTGATATGGAGCATGTATATGTTCCTACTCAAGTCAAAAATAAACGATGAATAACAATATGAAAAAATATCAAAGAACTTCGTGGTATCAATAGTGATATTCTTTCGATCTGAACTAACTGAAATATTCCACTGCAGCTGAAATGAATCATTTGATATGCGTTCTTTCAAATGACGTTGGATAGGTACAACCGAGGGTACAACGCATGTCTACTGATTCAGTTCAAGTGAAATGTGTCAGTTCGTTCAGAACGAAAGAATATGACTAATACATCCGGAAAAATTCACCAACTGTAAGTGGTTCACAAAATAATTGCAGCCATAAAAGCGGCAATTTGATATCAGAGAAAGTTGCATTACACGGAGTAGGTATATAATTTGAAGATATATAATCTACCTAATGCATATGTGCATAAAACGAATGATGCCATAATCAAAATCGATTACATGTCATAATGATTATAGGATGATGGGATGTTACCTACCTATGATAGAATGATGATTCCATATATTCACTGGTAAAAGCATCAACATCGAATGAAAAGTTCAAGTTCGTGATGAGGTGATCGCAGAATAGTATATTTCATAACTAGAGTGGAAAGTGACATATCTTGCTCGAGTGATATTTAGCACGACGCCGCACATACGTGCTTAGAAAAATAGTTATATTCAGCCCACAAGTGTTTTGAAAAGAGAAGAGTTGTTACAAGATTTTTTCGTCGACTATGTTTCTCCTGCAATGAAGAATATCTTCCGGAAACTACTAACAATCACCCAGTAGCCATGGAAGTCAACTTGTCAGCTTGTCACTGACAGTATATGATGACATTAGATATTTGTCAAAATTATTAATATGATTGGAAGTGAATTCCTCTTGTGTTAGAAACTAGGGATCACAATCGGTTCAGTAACTTTAAAAAGCTACCTAACCCGTTAACGTAAGATTTTTGATGAAATCCATATTTTCGATTCAAATGCAGATTCCGTAAGTTATAATCCCAACAGTGGAACGACGTGGTGTATGTTTGGTTGTCTATACTACAATCGATCGTTAATAGGCAAAATTATCGTTATAAATCGTAGAAATCGTCCACTCAAAGTGGTCCAATGTATTTTCAATGAAAATGAATACTCAAAGTCAGTTGACCAGAAAAATCCAGAATTTTCTGGCTCTTCAGCCGCTTTAAACTGACTTGATGGTCAACCCAATGATGTTGACTTCTTATGATTTATTGTGTCTTCATAAGGAATCCATTCGTGCCTAATATGCTTCCTACAACACATATTACGTAACCAGGCAACCAGATGACGTTTCAGTGACGTCTTTTTACGTCAGTTGAATGACCAAGGTGACGTCAGGAGTTGACGTCGTATGACATGATTATTTTGAAGGAAAATCAGCCAACAAACTAATACCTCATCAACTAGTTCCGATTGATAGACTTATAGGAATAATTAGTTCGAATAATTTAATTATGACAAGCTCCTTGGGATTAAAATATGAATACAATTCATAAACAATTCGAAGCGCTGCATTGAATAATTTAGTGGATTTTTTTTTTCACTTTTCAGTATTGAATAACTAGTCCATCAATGTTTGACACTGAATAATCAGAAATAAGTGAAACTGATGACATTTTTCCTTTGGAATTTCGAAAAAAACATTGATGATGGCTAAAAATAGTTCGAAACACATTCAAACCACCTTGTATAATACATGGTTGAATTCAGAATAAAAAAAGCTTTCACAATCTGTGAAAGAATTATCAGGGCCGTATTTAAAAAACAAAAGTTGATGATGGTTCTACGAATACGAAACGTTGCATAGAAAAATTGGTATCACCACGTTAAACGTCATCAAAAGTTGCTATGAAAAAGTATTTTCAGTTTTCCTGTTTCTCTAATAATAACGGAGAAAAAAAAAATAAAATAGAGATTCCAAAAATTCACTTTTTTTCGATATAGGTAACTGAAAAACTAAAAAAAAATTGAAAATTTTCGAAGGCTGTTGGTATGAGCCTCCGAATGCGCAACTTTTTCCCCATTCAACCGACTTCGTATCTCCTACCGTTTCCGAGATCCCCATGCTGTGCAACCTTATCTTGGACAGACTGTATATAATTCCAATAAAACTTGCATGTTGATTTGTTTTAATGATTTATACTACTATCGACGTTAGAAGCATATATATAAATTTACCAAGACGTACATGTTTCTATAGGTCGCGTGCAAGAACTGTCAGATGACCGACCCTGGAGGCAAAACATATTTGTTTACAAGTGATCGAAATAGTTTTCCACAATTATTTTGGCATATGAATCGTATTTTTCCGCTATTCATCAATTCGCTAATGCCATCACATTGTGCTGTTGTAAAATGCACAAAAACTGCAGCAGAAGATGAAGAAATCCGGATGGTACATTATGATTCAAAAGTAAGTACCTACTATAGTCACTCACATAGTTTTCATTTATGAAATTTGGTTATTTCTCTGATTTCTCATCGGAATTCCTTCTGCAATAGGATCAGCTAATAGAAATATACCTGAAATTTCTAGAATAATGCAAGAAGATTGGATTCATACAATCAATCGGTAGGACTGGTCTGACATGCTGACGATCGTGTGTGTTGTAGACATTTTCAATCTATTAGCAGCATTAGCTTGTATTGCAGAAGTGGCAGAAGGCAGAAGGAATTTTAATAAGGAATGACAACATTTCATAATGCTAACTATGTGAGATTACTATTTACCTGAAAAATCATATTCCCTAGTCTCTTGCTGCATTTTTTGTGCATTGTACAACAGCACAATGCGAAGGCATGCTTGAACTAATGAATAACGCAAGAAACACGATTCGTATGCCAAAATATTGTGAAAAACTATTTCAACCTTTTGATTCCTCTGTAACCAAATAAAAAAGTGAGGTTGTGTTTCAATAATTCACAGAAGAATGAGGTTGTGTTTCAATAATTCACAGAAGAATGAGGTTGTGTTTCAATATTTTGCCTCCAGGGTCGGTCTTCGTGCACGCGACCTATATAAATATGTGTGTAAAATTAATTAAGAACGATTTATTCTGAAAACTTTTCGACACTGAAAATGCCCATCCTGTATATATAGGTACGTCACAAACCTAACGGTTTCACATAGTTTAGAGATGGTCTGGGAAAATTGGACGACGACAGGACGTCTCTGCAACGTCATGATGTCTTATTTCACCCTTCTAAGTGACGTTCACCAATCACCAATTAGGGACGTCACAGTGACGTGATCATTCATCATCTGGTTGCCTGGGATACTATTACGTAACCGCGAATTCGAAGGAAGATAAAAGATAAAAGGCAGTTATTTCTCGGACACGGTGTTATTAGCGTATTTTTCGGAACTATAGCACAACAAAAGTCATCAAAAGTGTATTTATATACAGGGTGTAAATTTGAAAACTTCCAATGCGAATATCTCGCGAAAGAAAAAAGTTAGAAAAACGCCGTTTGGCAAAAATGCTAATGAGTTAAGGGGAACTAGAACCACCATATTTCGGTCAAGGGATGAGTCACCCCGTCGGCGCGACACAGCCCAACTTTGAAATGTCAAATGGCACTATATACCTTTTTTGTGATGCCTCAAATGAACAGTCTCAGTTAGTAGTATTCACCTGTACAAGACCTTTTTTACACCCACTACAGGGTGTACGAAAAATATAAAGTCGAATAAAATAAAATGAATTGTGTTAAAAGGATATTTTATTTGATCAGATGTTCGAAATGCATTCCATTCTGTTGTAAGCAATAGTATAATCGATGTTCAAATGCCATTCTAACATTTTGGAACACATCTCTTGGAATATATCGGCATTCTGCATTTTATTTTATTCGACTTTATGTTTTCCGTTCACCCTGTAGTGGGTGGAAAATAAGTCTTGTACAGGTGAATACTACTGACTGAGACCGTTCATTTGAGGTATCACAAAAGAGGTAGTGACATTTGACATTTCAAAGATGGAGTGTGTCGCGCCGACGGGGTGACTCATCCCTTTACTGAAGTATGGTGGTTCTAGTTCCCCCTAACTCTGTAGAATTTGTGCCAATCGGCGTTTTCCTAACTGTTTTATTTAGCGAGATATTCGCATTGAAAGTCTTCAAATTTAGACCCTCGAATTAATGTTTTTCGTACACCCTGTAGTGGGTGGAAAAAAAGTCTTGTACAGGTGAATACTACTGACTGAGACCGTTCATTTGAGGTATCACAAAAGAGGTAGTGCCATTTGACATTTCAAAGTTGGGGTGTGTTGCGCTGACAGGGTGACTCATCCCTTCACTGAAATATGGTGGTTCTAGTTCCCCTTAACTCTTTAGCATTTCTGCCAAGCGGCGTTTTTCTAACTTTTTTATTTTGCGAGATATTCGCATTGAAAGTTTTCAAATTTACACTCTGTATGTGACAAATACTTTTTTCCCGTGGGAAAATGTAATTTATGAAAAGTGACATTTTATAACCTGCCAACAGAGATGAAATGCCAAACTTTTTTCGCATCACAAAAAATAGTTATTTGTTTAACTAGGCAGCAAAGTAGTAGATTGACTGCCGTGGCTGAATTGATAGCCGAGCGTAGCGAGGCTAGGAATCCAGCTAAGGCAGTCAATCTACTTCGCTGCCGACTTGAACATATAATTTTTTCTACGATTGTTCATAATGATATGGGAGAATATTGTATTTGCGAATCAATACAATTCCCACAATCTCTTTATTCTTCCTGTATAGTGTTCAATTAAAATAAAATTTGATAGAAATCGCAGTTGTTGGTTTGACAATTCATGAAATTTCTGACAGTTGTGCGAAAAAATATCGGTATATTTAAATTATTATATAATGGATAGTGATAGCGACCTGGAAGTATACTTACACCTCCATTAATAAGGGAGGTGGCAAAAAATATAGAGTTGTATTTGTTGCCGGAGAAGTCTCGGATGGAATATGAAGGAAATTATAAACGATTTATGGAATTTAATTTTGCTGATACATATCAATCAGCAAAGTAACCACTTTGCTGCCTAGGCAGGAAAAGTAATACTTTGCTGATCGATATGTGTCAGCAAAATTAATATTTGCTGCCAATCGGAGGAAAAAATACTTACTTCTACTACTCTTTCCAACAGCGGTTCCAACCAGTTGGCGTTGCATTCACAATGACTATCCAAGAACGTCAAAACGGACGCAGTCGCAGCATCAGCACCCTTCACTCTGGACCTCATTAGTCCTTCTCTTTTATCGTTTCTCAAAACACGAACTTTCTGGATCTTAGCCAGTTCTTCTCCATCGGAAGCTGTAAAATCCATATTGTGTATACAGGGTCGCTGATATGTATGGAAACAGGTGAATATCTCGGCAATCTGTTGTTAGATTTTTTTGAATTTATGTACAGTGTGATTTCAAAACGTGGCGGATTTGAAAATGTTATAGCCTCTGTTGCCACTTTTTCAGTTATTCCGGATTTTTAGTAACTTCCTTATTTTGAATGAAACACCCTGTACTTTATTGGATTTCCAGATTCTCCTTGAAGAGCTGATTCCATCGATCTATCACACTTGGGGTCGAGCGGGAATGATTACATAGGTATAGGGTGTTTAAAATCTAGGTTTTTCAACTTCAAGATTTTTTTGTGTAGAAACTATCCATTATTGATCAAAACCGCTTCAATGTTCCTATTTTCACTTTTGATTTACCATCTACTGACTATTTAATTGGAACAGATACAGAGGGTGATCAGAATTCTGAATCTTGAACCACCCAGTATTTGTTTCAATTAAATGTCAGTAGATAGTAAATCAGAAGTAAAGATGGGAACATTGGAGCGGTTTTGATCGATAATGAATAGTTTCGACACAAAAAAATACTAAAGTTGAAAAATCTAGATTTTAAACACCCTATACCTATGTATTCATTCCTGCTAGACCCCAAGTGTGATAGATCGATGGAATTAGCTCTTCAGGGAGAATCTGAAAATCCAATAAATTACAGGGTGTTCTATTCAAAATAAGGAAGTTAATAAAAAATCCGTTATAACTGAAAAAGTGGCAACATTGGCTATAACATTTTCAAATCTGCCACGTTTTGAAATCACACAGTACATAAATTCAAAAAAATCCAACAACAGGTTACCGAGATATTCACCTGTTTCCATACATATCAGCGACCCTGTATATGTTTCCTTGCATCTGTATACAGAGTCTTTTATTAAGTTGACATGATATAGGAAAAATAATTGAAAATGGCCTACTCGGTCGAGGTCCCCTGCATTTCGCTAAATGTCAAAGGTTACATTTTTTTCAAATCAATCGTTGAAAATATTTTCATTTGTTTGGATTTCAAGAACGTTTGATGAGAGAACGGTTTATTGATATTTTTCAATTCCCAAGATTTTTCTGTAATATTGAAAATATTCCAATAACTAATTATTGACAAACATCTATATGAGTATATAGAAATGAATGGTTGTCTGTAAGTCCTTTATACAGGGTGATTCATAAGAAATGGGAAATCTCTGAACTACAGATAGTAAACACAAAAATAATGAGATTTAGCCCAATATGCCTGATGAGAATGTTGCTGGTTCAGGAGATACAGGGTGTTCTAGGTGGAGATGTTATTTCAAATTTCACAATAACTTTGTTAGTTTTAATAGCATGAACATGAAATCTTGTATATCTAGGTTTTCTGACATGAGGAATATGAATTTGCAACTTATTTCGTGATTGCTCATAGAGGGTGCTAGTGGCACTCTGTTACTTCGATAATTTACATCATATCTTCTATGTCAATTCATTGATGATCAAAATAAGTGGAAAATCTGAGAGCTCGTTCAATTTCACATGAAAAATGTACTCTTTATCAAATTGTCCAACTTCAACGGTTTTTGTGTTATTCGCTCTTGTGAAGTGATTTATGTTCTCATTTATTAAAATAAGAATTGGAAATCCCTGAACTACAGATAATAAACACCCAAATATAAATATTTAGCCCAACATACCTCATAAAAATATTGCTGGTTTAAGAGATACAGGGTAGTTAAGGAGAAGATATTTTGAAATAAAATCTACAGGGTCAACGAAAACTTGAGCTTCTTGACCGCTATCTGGGACAGCCCTGCAATGATGAGAGCCAACAGCTCGAAACCAGTCTGCAGGTAGTCAGGCGTTCCTGAACCACTTAGGCGCAGCTCGGCGTTTAGGAAGGAAACACTTGCCATTTTATTCGTCTATCCGAATTATCGCATAGATTTCGGAACGATATAATTCAATGTTCTGCGTGGCATATAGCCAAGAAAGTAGTCGTTTTTCTCTCGTTATCTACCATTTTCGTTCATTTTATGAACTATTGTAGTAATGACTTTGAGTTTCTCTCTTTGTGATCATTGCATTCCACTTCGAGTATTTGGCTTTTTCCTAGTTGGACGAACCGTTATGTTAAGATGGGATTATTCTTCAATCCAAAACATAATAATAATAATAAATACGTTTATTATATACCCAAAATTAAATATACAAATGAATTGATGATTCGAACGGTATACATTTTGAGAGGGTAGATAAAAGGCTGTATGGTTCAGATATCAGAAGTTGAACTTCTGAGCCTGTTCTTCCACCAAAGCCATTTTAAGAGAGAGAGAGAGAGAGAGAGAGAGAGAGAGAGAGAGAAGTGATGAAAAAGATTGAATGTCATAAAGGCAGTAGAATGTATGAGTGCATCTAAGGTTGATTATTCTCGATTATTCTGCTTATCAAATAAATAGCATTTGAATTTGTTCTTGAAGGCAGTCGGATTCATATCAAAACGGAAAAAGGTAAGTTTTATCAGATCATTCACGACGATAGCGATGTTATAAGAAAACGATCTTTTGAAAACTTCTTTGTGGTGGGAGGGTATGGTGAGGATATTTTGGCGTCGAATATTTAATGAACTCAATTTTAACCACTCACCATTTCCACAGGGCGTTGAGGGTGAAAGAGTAACTTTTGTTCTTCCCTGTATAATGATCTAGCCATCAGCTTTTCTTAGAACCTGATAATCAGGCTAACACTCCGAAACAAGAATATACGATTTGGTCAAAATTTCACAAAAAAGAATTTGAAAAGTAACAGGGCGAATAATTTGGCTAAATTTTTTGGTTGCCATTATTTTTTGACGGTAAGTGTAGATTCGATTTCCTTCAACTTCAACTCATTGATTGTACATCAAATGTAAATCATGGTTCATCGATTCAAAGAGTTTCGGACGGATTTCATTCCTCAGAGTGGTCTTCCCCATGGTAGACTATTTTATTTTTGGTGAATTGATCGACCCAACAAAAAAGCGAGATGTGGATATTATGTAGTGAATGAAAAGTTCTCAATTGATGGGTAATTTGCAATTTTGGTTAGAAATTATAACCAGGATGTCGGTTTGTCATTTATTATCAAGTATTGGTTTTATTATCAATAACTCTGTCAAATTTCAACTGATTTCCAGAAACGATGCACCAAAGAATTTCCAATGAGAAGGGCTTTAAAATGATGTGTTGAAAGTAGGGTATTGAAATTAAAAAATTGGGGTTGCTAGGGATTAGGGGGATGAACACACCAAGTTGGTTTAACTGTAAAAAAATGCTCCCCTCAAACCTCAAATATAAACTCGACGAGTCCTGCCGATTTCTAGTACCAAAAGGACTCGGTTATATCATAATTGAATGCTGATCCTTAAGGGCGATAATCCTTGGATGATTTCAAAGAGAAAAGTTTATATCAACATATGTCCTAAACCTCTTATTCATTGAGCTACAGGGTGATGAAATTTCAAGAAAAAAATGAGTTTTTCATCATAATTTTTTATCACTCTTAGATATTGTTATGATATTTCGTATACACCTTTTCATTATCAAGGAGCATTTATTTTATGTGGAAGATTTTTAAAAATTCACACCAGTGGCGTCCGTACGGGGTTTGAACTGACAATTTTTGAAGAAAAAAATAGTACGCCACTGATTTTTCTGAGAACCAGATTTTTTTTTCCAATTCTTATTCATTTTGGAGCAAATTTGGTTCCTAGACTTACTTTCATACAACGTACCGTTTTCGCATAAAAAAATAAAAACCAAAGAATTTTGTTCCTTCAGTTCTTGGATATTGTTTTTGGTAATTCAGTAGACACCCAATATAAGTGGAAACACATTTTGTTTTGGGGCGAAAATCAAACTTTTACTTTTACCAGTGATGTCCTCGTAGACCTGATATTGAATGTTTTGTTTAAAAAAACGCTGTACGCTTCTGATTTCAACACCCTGTAGCTTAAAAACTAAGAGGTTCAGGACATACGTTGATATGAACTTCTCTCCTTGAAATCATCCAAGGATCATCGTCCTTTAGGATCAGCATTCAATTATGAAACAACCTGTATATAGGGGGGGTCAAGTTTTCGTTGAAAGACCCTGTATATGTACTTACCACTATCACTGAAATCATCTACCAGAATGATTTCCTTTATAAGATGTTCTGGACTTCTATTCAAAACGCTGAAATGTTATAAAAAAATTATAGCCTATATGAATAACTTAATCCAAAGAAAGGCTCTTACCTAACTACCGTCCTTAGGAGGGTGGATCTCGCTTCGTTATGGAAGGTTATTATCACAGATGTTGCAGGGAGATCTTCAGTATTCCAAGACTTTTTTCGACACCTGTAAATAAATGATTATTAGTACTTGTTATGGCTTCTTCAAATCTACAAGGTGATTCCATACTTTATTAAAGTACATATAAACATGCATTATTATTAATTATTAATTCTTTTTAACTACATGCTTATTGTTAATTTCATGTTCTATGTGGAATATTTAAATGTATGTTTCTTTCTTTTATTAGAATCTAACAAACAATTGTAAAATATCTATATTTTTAATATTTGTAGTACAAGCTTTGTCAATAAGATTTATGTCTTCGACAATAAAGCATATTTTTGATTTGATTTGATTTGATATTTTTCCAAAAATGCTCCATTTTTGTATCAATGTTTTCATGAAAAATTTCACTCACTCAGACCCGTGCTGAAGCCTTGGAAAACGGTAAAAAGTGAAAAAAAAAAGTGGAATCAAACAAACAAACAAAAAAGTAGAGACTTTGAATTCTCCTTCATATAAAGATATGCATATAATAAAATTCTGATGAATATTCAACAGAAAACAACTACTTTCCTGGCTATTTGCCTCGTCGAACATTGAAATTATATCTGTTCAGAAGATTTTGTTTTCAAATTCTCATCGTGTGTGTTCAATAGATTTAATTCAATATTCGTTGTGGTATATAGCCAGGAAAGTAGTTGTTTTCTGTTGAATAAACCGTGAAGGAATTGATATTTTCATCACATGGCGAATGCGAATTCTCAATGTATTTCTTTATATATATATATCCATTTTTTTGTGTTCATAAATATATCTGAGAATGTTCTTTTTCAATACTTTCACCCAATCAGTGGTTCAAACTTGAACGATGGAAAATTGTTATTTTTATGGACCTCAATCGCAGATTCGTGATTAGGTTTTTCTCAATTCAGAATTTCTTTCTACGTCCTGTATGATGAATGTCAATTTATCATACATTTAAAAAATTCAATATTATTGTTACTCATTTTTATCGAATAACCTCATTGGGTGTCATGGATACTTTTACATTCGATAAAGAAATTAGATATTCCGAAAACGGTGGGTTTTCAGCTCAAAAACACAATAATATACCCCTTCCCAGACAGCATAAGGAAATTATATCAACGTTCTCGATTGATTCTCAAGAGCAAGAGATTCTAGGGAAATTTCGCGAATCAACTGCCAGCTGAAGCAAAAAAGACTGTTTCGGCTAACTAAGCCTCGTTTGTTGCACCTGGTTGCACTAAGCCTAATCCATTTGACATTTAGAGCCATCTAGCAGCGGAAGTGCAAAGGTGTATAAAATCAGTTTATTTTGGAAACAATAATTTTCTTCCTTGGATGCTTTTATTCCCTGCACCAGTCTGTACAGGTTCTTCACCGGTTGGCTGTTGTATTCCTCGGTAGTCAGACTAGGCTGCCCGAATATTTCTTGTCTTTTGCGATCCAATACCTCGCATTCTATCAATAAGTGTTTGGCCGTAACTGTCCCTTTGCCGCATTGTCTGCAGAGAAGTTCTTCATTGTACAGTCCCATTTTATTCAGTGTCCTCTTGTTGGGCTGTGACCAGTGAGAAGTCCCGTTATTGTTCTGACTTGGTTCCTACTCATCTCGAGTAGTTCTTCAGATTCATTTTTCGACGGTTCTTTGATGAATACTTTCCCGTGGTGCATGTAAGGGGCTTCAGTCCATCGCTCCTTATGTTTTCGCTTGATCCAGTCCCGTATGTATCCTCGGGTAGCTGTTTTTGTACGGGTTCTGGCGTTACCACCGATAAAACAAGGCCTGCATGCTTCGTGGGTGACGTCACTTAGTGAGGTATAACCAGCGGCTCGAAACGACAAGCGCTTATAAGGCGACCGCGTATTTCGATTTTAGTTTTAGATCATCATTGAGCCGATTTTGCTGTTTATGAAGGGCTTCCGGATAAAAAAAGGTGCCAGTCGTCAACTGAGCCCTTCTTCGCACCCCATTCGATTTTATTATGGAAAAACGAAGTTTTAAAGCAAAAACCAGAATAAAACACAAATATCCACCTACAGCAACCCATTCGAATTAAATATATTGGCAAAAATTGTGGTGAAGGTAAACTTCACATCTACTTATACAGGGTCCGCAGAACATAATTTTATCGTGAGATTGATCGAAAGAAAATTGTGGAAAATGTATTTTATTTTGATTGATATGCCGTTTGTTACAATTACCTATATTTATCTTGGAGAATTCCTATTACCTGAAAAAATAACCAGTGAGTGTTTTCAATTTTCTTTTGTTGGATTTTTCACCAAAGTGGATCGTTACACTTGAAACCGTAATTTTTAAGGGTAAAACTGCATTTATCATGCAATGGTTTTTTTTTTGAAATTTTTTTTCGGTACTCACGTATTCTTGTCTGATAAACCGAATTTCATAATGAAAATGTGAACAAACCACTATTTATTGAGATATTTCAAGAAAAAGTTCTAAGTTTCGCCTTCTTTCTCCCCTTGTGTTGGGGGCATTTGAAGCTACTTGCTCTTATTTTGTCATTGGACACTTTATATACTCATGATGTACTTCGATGGCACATTTTTATATAGAAAATTCAACAGGAAATATGATTTTTATGGCGAGTTTTTCATATTTAGTGAACAAGCATTCCAGATGACGAACCATTTAATCAATAGTCAATCAAAATACGAGATGTCAAATGTCAATAGATTGCTTTCGAATGACCGTTACACACGCCATTATTTTGAATGATATTCTTCCTTCTTTTCACTAAATATGGATTAATCTCAAGAAAATCATATTTATATTTGAATTATATATAAATTGACAATATGATGAAAAAAGAAGGAAAATTTGTTCTAAATGCCATCCAGAAGACAGGTGAAAAAGAAGCTGAAATTTGGAACTTTTTAGTCAAATATCTTCATGATAAATATCATGATAAATGCAGTTTTACCTTTTTAAGTAGAGTGTTTGTAGTTCATGTTAATATGATAGTTGCAATTTGATCATTGGAATGAATTCTGCATTCATTGCCACGAGGCAAATGACCGTTTTCAGAAAGAAATTTGAGAATGAGAATTAAAAATGCCCGTTTATTATGAACATTCAAGAAAATTTCCTCGAATTCAGAGATGATTTTGTTGACTATAATATACGAATACAAAACTAACTGCACAATCAAAGCTTTTCTATTTTTCCTCTACTTATACTTTTTATGAGAGAGTAATTGTCTTCTATTATTAATTCATCATTATAAATTAAGCTCTGTTTACTACTGAACTTAGATGTAGTAAAATCCTCGCGGTGAATTGCATATACCCACATTTTCGATAGCTCCTCGTCCAACGGGAAACTAAAAGCATGAACTTTTGAACCACCCACATAATTCCCCCGACAAAAGGGAACACAACACTTGAAAGGCATTGTTATTTCGCCGATCACAACACAAAATATTTCACAAAACAGTAGTTTTCTGTCAATTATTCCGATGAATAAACAACAAAAGAATTCGGTACCGTTTCAAAAACATACGTGAATCACCGATGAATTAACACGAACTGAGTTAGTCGACTAGCGATAAAATAAAACAATGGCCTCTCTTGGTGACGTCACGAGATGTTTACGTCAGAGTCTGCTGGCCTTGTTATATCGGTGGTAACGGTTCTGGGCCAATGTATGGAGATGATGAGCTGGTTCTTGCCAGTTCATCAGCTTTTTCGTTCTCTACAATGCCGCAATGACCTGAAACACATAACAGGGTAATTTTGTTATGTTCTGACAGGACATTGACTTCTTCTCTGTATTCCCGTACCAGCCTGGATATCACTTTCGGGTTCGTGAGATCTTCCAGTGATGCCTGGCAATCGGTGCATATTTTGATTCGTGCATTGCGCACTTCCCTCATATTGTTTGTTCTTGCACATTGCGTATATTTCCGCTGGAAATAAGGAAGTGTTTATTCCCAGTGTGAAGTTCATTTTGGAGTTTCTCCCTTCACTGTAAATTTCAGCACCAGAGCCTTCCTTGGTCTTGGACCCGTCTGTGTATCAGATCTTCTCTCCAGGTTTGACCGTGATGTTGTCATCTGTCCATTCTCTTCGATCTTGCATGATCACCTCGAAATTCATGTTGTAGCAGTATATTGGGGTAATGTGGTCCGTTGGTTTCATTTCAAGAATGTTTCCTCCCACTATTTCCTTTATCTTGTTGTGTCCCGATCGATCGCTCGTGTTTTGTAGCCTTAGACATCCCATTCTAGCCTCTTCCATGATAACTATGTCTATCGGGGGGAGGTTTAGTAGTGCCTGAGTGCCTCCAAAGCGGCTGTTGGTGTTGTTTTCATAGCTCCCGTTATGCTGAGGCATTCAAGTGTTGGACACAACCATAGGTCAAACGCAGATTCTTACGTCTGCACTACAGTGAGACAAAATACCACAACTCTGTGAGTCCTTGAGGTATCACCAGGGTCATTTCATTTCGCATGGATTCAAAATATCCCTCGTGTAAATGAATTTCTTTTGGTATAGCACGAAAGGTGAATGAATAAACTACGTAGGTGGAGTCAAGTCCTACAAACTGCCTTGGAGAAGCTGCGTTTCAAAGGTATTTTTGAATCATTTTGGAAAAAACATCTAGATGTTATTTGATAGCCTTTACTTGTTTATAATGATAATAATGATAATAATAATAAATTTATTCATCTTTCTTGATCATACATATAGTTGATATAAGACATTGACATTTTTTGAGACATCTTTTAAAAAGATTATAATCTTTGATTTTCTTTAAGGATGATGGGAGATGATTGAAGAAACTTATTTCATTATAGTGTGGACTGAGCTGATAGAGAGATGTTGAGTGTTTGGGGACACATAATTTATCACCATATCTTGTAGAGTAATTATGGAAGTCATGGTTTTTAGAGAATTCCGATGAATTGCTTTTGGCATATAAAATGCATTTGTAGATATAGGTATATCGACGGCAATGCTGAAATTTCATGATGTTTAAAATGTTCCCTACAGGTTTGCTTAAAATTTAGATT